AGAAAGGAAAAATTGAAATCGCATCATGTGACCCCTTTAAATTGTAATAATATTTGACAATATTAGTGTTTTTCCTATATTTTTGATAATAAATTAAGCCTTGGTAATCATTACCATCTCTTGACTACCATGTATGTGTAATATTCCATGTGTCCTTTCTTTTTCCCAGGGTGGAGCATCAGGGGAGACGGTGGAGGAAACAGATCAGAGTTTAGAAGAGCTGATGGCTCAGATGAGAAAGATGTAAGGGAACAACAAGCAAGAGGAAAATGACATCCTTGAACTCAGAAAAAACTCTCCCACATACACTAAAGACAAACTTATTATTATTTAGTACTTATATACATGTAACATCTGAGGTCTCATACTACATGAGTTTGGATTTAGTTTTTTTATTCTGTTTTTGCAGGCAGCGTGTAACACTCAAGATATACAGGTTTACTTCAACTGAAAGTCTTAATACTGCTGATCTTTGATTTTCACAGTGTTAATGTTTCAGAGTTGTCATGGAATGGTTAATAAGAACCAATCTGAAAGATTGTTTTTAAATAGCTGTTGTTACCAGCTATGTGACGGAAATGGATACGTCGTCTAAATATGTTATTGCTATATACTGAATGTGGTCGTAGACACCCAGCCAGATGTTATAAAGAACATCACACAAATATTTCTGATATCTCATCATTGGCTTGATTCTGACTGCTGTATTGAATGGTATAACATTGTAATAATGCAAATGAAAAAATAAATTTGTTGTTACATTCCATATTGCTTTTCCTGCATTTAAACTAGTAGATCCATCTAAAGAAGACTTAGCAATAGTTGTGAAATCTGTTTTCCTCTGCATGGAGTAAAAACCTCTACAACTGTAATTTTCATTCAATTATGCATTTATTGGTAGATAATACACAATATTTTGTGCATGGACCATGTGCATTAGAAGAATTTGGGTATAAAGTACACCTCTTTTGGCAGTGTATAAAAGTCCTGGCACAAATTGTATGACAACAATGTGATGTAATACAAGCAATAATGGAAGTTTAGAGTAAATTATTAAAATATTAGCATGTTCTCCCAGAATCTAACAGTTCAAAGATGATTTTTCTACAAAAATTAGGCACATTACACTGATTCTGCTTTAGCACCTTTCCAAATAGTTTTTTAACACCCATAAGTATTTGCAGACATTCAGAAATTGTTGCATTTGCAAATGCAAAGTTTGGCATTTCCACTATTTTGCATCCATTTAGTATTTTATATTCCTTCATTATACATGTCTCTCTAAATAAACAGGTAGCCATCAGAACCAGACACGTGCGATATGGCAAGGTATTTCACATTCACAATTCAAAATGTAAAAAAAAAAACAGCAGTACCATTTCCAAATACAAAAATATGGGTTGTAATATCATGGATCTATCTTTTCAGATAAACTATTGTATAAACTAAACTACATATACTGACACTGTCATTATGCATTACAAGAAGCATAATTATTGCACATGCTGTGTTCTGTGGTGTTGAACCATTTAAATGCTTCTTCTCAAAAACGTGAGACCTATACAACAAATAAAATATTGAATACAATAAATTCAGACTTATTTTATTCATTACCTGTATCTTGATATCATGTTATAGTGTTTTGTATGGCTATGTACGACAGCTGTCCTTTAGTAATACTGTGCAATTTACAACAGTTTATGGTGTTATAAGGTTACTTTGCACGACAGGAAGCAGGTCATAGACCAGAGGAAGGAGCTGAGACTCTGGACCACATATTTCACATTTACAAGAAGGTATTTAGTCATTGTATTGCAATTCTCAAATGATGCGAACTTCCATTATGCTTGACTTTGTGTTTGTCTCGACTTTGTGTTTGCATATGCTGAAGGCAGCAGTGATAGAAACCTGAAAAAATCTGCTGAAATTGGTCACACATCAGCTTTTCCGAAAAGCTTTTGTACCATGCAAGTGAAAAGTGCTTTGGAAGAAACGAATACTGACATTGTATAAATTACCAAGGTAATTATATTTCTTCCACCAACATTTTGAACTTAAACCAAGTCATTCGACTTGCACTCAAGTTTCTAATAAAAAAAAGTTTCTCATAGTGATAATTGGAGGAAAATAACTTGAATTTTCTATCAAGTAAATACATAGAGAAAATGTAAGTAATATTTTGTATTGCATGAACAATCATGCTTCATTACTATGAAGGCCTTTTGTCGTCTGAGAGAAGAAAAAAGATAATTGCACCACTATTTCTTGCAGTTGCAACTTCACACTTCGTAACTGCGGCTTCATATCTTGATATGCAATATTTTTTTTGCTGTTGCTGCTACATATCTTATTTCGCAATTGTGATTTTATATAATTGTAACCCAAATTCACATTACAATGTTTTTTCAACAAATTACTTCATATCTCATAGCAACATTATTTATAGCAATTGTGACTTCTTATCTCGTAATTGCAATTTCTCCTAATTGCTACTATATATCTTGTAACTGCAACTTCATATCTTCTAATTGCGACTTCATATCTCATGACTTTAGTTTTTTTTTCACATAATTTCTCATAATTGCAACCTTATTTTTTGTAATTTAGACTTTATTTCTTGCTATTGTGACCTCTTATCTCGTCATTGTGACTTCATATCTCACTACTCAGTATCTCATGTACCTTTATATCTCCCAAATGTATTTAAACTTCTAACAGTCAGTTTTTTTTTTACACTCTTAGGTGGCCTTCCATAAATAACACTATTCTGGTCATAGTGACTTTACTAAACACTACTACACCTAACAGTTTACCAGCAGTGCATTTGAAATGTCATTGGTATGCCGATGCTATGGAGTGCTGTTTCAACAGTCATTGAAAATCACAGGTATAAAACACTTTCTCAGGTTTTGCCTTTTTGAGAGTCAGAGAGCACCTTCTATAAACCCAGTGGCAATGAGTGATACATTAAAACACTTATGATTCATACTGTAAATTACAGTAGGAATGAGAACTACGTTGGATTCCAATGTTTTCTTACCATGCATATTTGATTGCTCCATGTAGACTTCAAGCACATGCATGAACACATCAAGTGTGGCCAATATGGCTTCATTAATAGAGGTAAGAGTTCACCTTGGTAAGTGTTGAGGGGTCAGGTGTCACCTTGAGGTGTGAGGGAGGGCGGGGCTTCGCAGGCTAAAGGTATCGCCGCTAGATGAGTGACGTGAGGGGGCCTTACCGCACACCAGAGATGGCTCTGCCTCTTTTATTTCCATTGCTCGCTTGTACAGTTCAGCAGCATTCTCAAAATCTCCCTCTTCGTAGCTGAGAAAGTAAGAAAGTTTTTGCCATGTTGTTGCTATGAAGTTGCTAGGGTGTTCTGGATGGTTGCTACCCGGTTATTACTGGTCCAAGTTATAAAATTCTGGTTTCTAAATATGGTTAATTACTTTTCCTCTATCATTTACATATTTATTAAAAAACAATATTTACAAAATATACTAAAATGTGCCCAAGGAGCAGCATGTATAATCAAAACAGCAGGGGGCATAATACAGATCCTTGAGGCACTTCATATTTGACTGCTGTAAATATTTGTCTTTTTGCAAAGATTTCAGACGACGACAACATTTGTAAAGACTCCAAATTATGCCAACCGTAGATTAACATACAAAACTATCAAATCTTATCCTTACGATGTAATATTATCCTTACATTGTAATCATTATGAGCACAAGTTCTTAATTGCTGCCTAACACGTTTGTTGAATGTGCCGTGAAGTTAATCTAAATCTAACGGGTACAGCTGAGTTAAGAAAATATGGCTAACCTGAGTACAGCCAGGTTTTTCAGAGTCTCTCCAACACGAGGGTGTAGTCGGCCGAGACTGTCCTCATATACCTTTAGAGCGCGCTCGTACAAAGGCAATGCATCACTGTGCTGCTTCTGCAACACAAACACACATCACATGAGTCACATCATCAGAGAGCAGACAGGAAAGTTTTACAATACAGCAGGTGGGAGAAGTCTCTCACCAGCTGGCAATAGAGCACTGCAAGATTAACCAAAGCGGTGGCAACACTGGGGTGTTTAGGCCCGAAGCTCTTCTCTCTGATTTCAAGAGCCAGTTCATATAGAGGAACTGCCTTTTCCAGCTTCCCCTATCATACACACAGACAGATTAAAAAGGGTCTCAGATTTGTTAATAATATTAAAAAGACAAAAGCACACAAAGACAAACATTGCAGAATGAATGTATGCATAATTGCCACTTGATTGCTACATGTTCTGCAGAGCTAGTGGGTTGTGACTCTTTCCTGTGGTTTCTCACCCTGCGTTTGTAAAGCATGGCCAAGTGTTTCAGGGTATAGGCGAGAGCGGGATGATCTGGGGCGAGTGCTCGTTTACGGATGTCAAGTGCTCTTTCGTACAGCTCCTCGGCACTCTCATACTCTTTCCTTTCGCTGTGAAGCGCGGCTAGGTTGTTCAGAGACTGGGCGCAGTCGGGGTGATCTGGCCCCAGCACACGCTGGCGCATCTCCAGGGAATGGGTCAAGAACATTTTTGCAGCACTAGGTTATAAATACCAACATGTTAAAATGCATATTATATAACTGCAAATGGAAAATGTGTATTATCAATAAAGTGCTGAAGTATAAGAACAGTTTACAACGAGTTGTCCATGCAAAGTAAGTCTTTTCACAAATGATGGACAATCCTGTCAGAGTTCCTTATTTTTTTCATGGTACATTTTAGGTGCCCACTGAGTGTAATACATGAGGAAAGACATTTAAACTATTTTCAAGACAAGGGATGAAATGATTATATATGATTGGTTTAAACAAAACAGCAAGACAGGCGGAATGAAAATGCAAATTTACTCTCTGACAGTAGTTGGTGATTATTGAAAAAAAAAAAAATACTGGTTACCCCAGCTACCCCTGTACACAGCAGTGCAGAGCTCATAAACACCACCTTATTAGGCATTTGCATGAATCACATGACTGGCCTATTTCAATGCCATGGCTAATTTCGTATATACAGTATATATATATATATATATATATATATATATATCATCACATCTATAAACATCACTATTAAAGTCCTAGCAAGGCACAGTGCAGGTTTGATATATATGACACCATCTCAAACTTTGAGGAAGCCCTGCCTTGCAGAGAGGTCTGCAAGAGGAAATGCAAACACAAAGAAAAGGAGAGCAGCTCTGATATATCGAGGTCATTGATTGTGAGTAATCTGCACCCTGATGTGACCAAACAGGAGCTGTGTGCTCCCATTTGGCTCCATCTGTACACTGAAAATGTGCAGAGACAGAAGAACCAACCTGTCTCTCGGGTATGGTTATGTTACCTTTGAACATCACCATGATGAAGAAAATGCCCCAGAGGCTCTTAATTTTTTGGAGCTCATTGGAAAACCAATATACATCATGTGGGGCCAAGACATGACAGTTAAGGTGCTACTAAGTGGCAAAGAAAGCAACTCCCATGACAGGCATATAGAAGAAATAGACCCAGCTGAACCCAGTTACAGGGAAGAAGGGAATACTGTGCAAATACTGTGAAAAGTGTTTTTTTTTTTTTTTTCACAACAGCTTTGAACAGCCTGGAAATATATCCAAAATATTCAGTAAAAATTCATTCAACAATACTCAAAATCTGCATTCATGACTGAAAATCTGCATTGCACAATTCCAAAATTTTCAGGATGTGTGGTATGTATGAAAATGATGATTTACTCACTCCAGGTTGTTCTGCAGGTAATAAAGCACTCCAAGCTCATTTAGAGTCTTGGCACAATCTGCTGAGTCTTTGCCAAGAGTAAGTTCCTCTAACTGCAGTGCCCGCCGCTTCAAGAGAGCAAAACCATACTAAAAAGAACACAAGCACATTCAGTATAAGATATACTGTTTTTTCCCCCACTACTCTGAACTCACAGTTCATTGAGTGGGACTAAATGAGACACAAATGTGGCTAAAATTATTGTTTGGTCTTTCCTTACCATGTGGCCTTTCTGTCGTGCTGTCTTCTGTCTGATCTTGACTGATCTCTTTCTCAACTTCTCGGCCTGCTCATATCTAGATAAAACAAAACAAAACAAAAAACAGAATTAGCCCAGCCCTAACTCTAAATTAATAACATAATAAATCATAAAGAAAAGGTCTAAAGGTATCTTTTCCAAATCCTAGAAAGCTGCCTAGGATTTGTTTCCTAAAATGAAGGATGTCTGGTTGTATATATATATATATATAAATTCAGCTTCACCATCACAGAAAATTAAATATATTCAAATAGAAAACAAACATCTTAAATTCTTAAAATTTCTCACCCCAAACCCCAAAATAG